GGGCATTTTTGAGGGGTTTTGGGGGTCTCAGCCTCAGCAGAGCACCACAGCACGCCCCCTCCAGGGCAGCCCGCAGATCCTGAGAGGAAAAAGGGGAAAAAAATGGGAATTTTGGGAACATTTGGGAATATTGGGGAAAATTTGGGAATACTGGGTGTGGGAAATGGGAATTTTGAGGGGATTTTGGGGTTTTTTAGGGCCTTTTTAGGGGGGCTCAGCCTCAGCTGGGCACCTCAGCAGGGCCCCCTACAGGGCATTCCTCAGATCCTGAGGGGAAAATGGGAATTTTGAGGGAAAAAAATGCAAATTTTATGATAATTTAGGGAATTTTGGTGAAATTCGGGAATATTGGGGGGAAAACAGGAAATTTTGGATATTATATTTGGATTTTGGTGGTTTTTTATGGCGCTTTTGGGGGGTTTTGGGGGTCTCAGCCTCAGCCGGTCCCTTCCAGGGCAGCCCTCAGATCCTGAGAGGAAAAAGGGGAAGAAATGAGAATTTTAGGGGAAAATTTAGGAATTTTAGGAAAATCTATGGAATTTTGGGGGATTTGGGAAAAAATCCAGGGGTTTGGGGGAGATTTTTGGGGACTTCTGGAGTTAGTTTAAAGGGATTTGGAATTTTGGAGGGAGATTTTTGGCAATTTTAGACAATTTTGGGGTTTGGGAATGATTTGATGGAATTTTGGAGGGATTTTGTTAATTTTTGGAGGATTTCTGCAGATTTTTGGGTGAATTTGGAATGATTTTGTCGGATTTTTGTGGGGTTTTGGGAGGATTTGAGGAATTTTGGGGGAATTTTGCCGGGGGGATCTTTTGGGAAGGAATTTTTGGGGGGAATTTTGGCTGGATTTGAGGGATTTTGGGTGGATTTGGGGGAAATTTGGAACAAATTTTGAGGGATTTTTTTGTGTTTGAGGAGGGATTTGGGAGGATTAAGTGAATTTGATGGAGAAATTTGGGGGATTTGGGGAAAAATTGGGGGTCTGGAAGGGATTTGGGGGAATTTTGGGGAATATTTGAGGGAATTCTGGGGAATTTTGGGGAGGATTTGGGGAGATTTTGGGGTTTGAGGGGGGGGCTCAGCCTCAGCCAGACAGTGTGGCAGGGCTCCTTCCAGGGCAGCCAGCAGATCTTGAGGGGAAAAAATAATTTTGAGATAAAAAAATGGGAATTTTGGGAAAATTTAGAGCATTTTGGTGAAATTTGGGAATATTGAGGGAGAAAAAAGGAAATTCTGGGGATTTTATTTGGATTTTGGGGATTTTTTAGGGCGTTTTTGAGGGGTTTTGAGGGGCTCGGCCTCAGCCGGGCACCTCAGCAGGGCCCCCTCCAGAGCAGCCCTCAGATCCTGAGGGGAAAACGGGAATTGTAGGAGAAAATTTAGAAATTTTGGGAAAATTTATGGAATGTTGGGGATTTGGGAAAAAATATGGGGGTTTTAGGTGGATTTTGGGTTTTTATGGGAATTGCGGGAAAATTTATGGAATTTTGGCGATTTGGGAAAAAAATCTGGGAGTTTTGGGGTTTTTTTAGGGCATTTTTGAGGGGTTTTGGGGGACTTGGACTCAGCTGGGCAGCACAGCAGGGCCCCCTCCAGGACAGCCCGCAGGTTCTGAGGGGAAGAAATGGGAATTTTTGGGAAAAAATGGGAATTGTGGGAAAATTTATGGAATATTGGGGATTTGGGAAAAAATATGGGGGTTTTGGGCCCGCCTCTCCCTCTTGGCCACGCCTCACTCAGGGCTACCCTCACTCAAAATGGCGCTTCTTACCTTAATCAATAAAGCGCAAGCGCATCTTTCCTCTGACCAATCAGCAGCCGCGATTTTGGCGGGCACTCCCCCTCAGCGCTTAAGCCCCGCCCTTCTTCCTGCTCCCCTCAGGCCGCCATGATGGCGGCGGCGACCCCGCGGCTGCGGCCGCTGCTGCGCGCCCTGAGGGCTCAGGTGAGCCGGAAAGGTTTTTTTAACTTTTCCCCCCCTTTTTTGCCTTTTTCTGGGGGAGGTTATGTCGTCAAAGTGAGTGTTTAGATGTTATAAAGGCACAAAATGTGTTTTTTTCCGCAGAGGTTGCGGGGTCCCGTGTGGTGCTGCGGAGCCCCGGCCGTGAGGGGGGTGGCGAGCGGCGCAGAGCAGGTGAGGCGAGAAAATTTGGGAGGGATTTGAGGGAAAATTGGGATTTTTAGGGAAAACTTGAGGGAAATTTGAGGGCTTTTGGGGGAGATTTGGGGTTTTGGTGGGGAAATCTGAGGGGAATCTGTGAGTAATTGGGGAAATGTGGGGGTTTTGGGGGACTGTGAGGAAAATTGGGGGGGTTTGGGCGTAAATTTTTGGGAAAATATGAGGGACCTTCGGGTTGTGGGGGGTTTGAGGGGAAATTTGAGGTAAATTTAGAGATTTTGTGGGGAAATTCAGGAATTTTGGGGAGGAAATATGGAGGTTTGGGGAGGTAGTTTTGGGGAAAATTTGAGAGAAATTTGGAAGTTTGGGGGGAAGTTCGGGAGTTTGGAGGGAAATTTGGGGGAAAATCTGTGGGTTTTGGGGGAAATTTTAGAGAAATCTGGGAGTAATGGGGGAAACATGGGGATTTTTGGGGAAAATTTGATATAAATTTGGGCAATTTTAGGGAAATTTTGGGGTTTGGGGGAAATTTGAGAAAAATTTGGGGATTTTGGGGGAAAATTGAGGGAAAATTGGGGAGTTTTGAAAGAAACTTGGGGAAAATTTGGGGGTTGTGGCAGAAATTCAGGAAAAATTTGGGGGTCTTGAGTCAGATTTTGGGGTTTTTGTTTAAATTTTGGGGTTTTGATTAAAGTGAAGTTTTAGGGGTTAAGTTTGAGTGGGGCTTATGTCAATTTTGGGTGGTTTTGGACAAATTGAGTGAGTTTGTGTCAAATTTTTAGGGTTTTTTGGTTAAATTTTGGATATTTTGGGTTAAGTATTGGGGATTTTGATCAAATTGGGGACGTTGGGGTCAATTTCTTGAGATTTTGTGCAAAATTTTTGGGGTTTTGATTAATTTAAGGGGTTTACAATTCAAATATTGGAGGTTTTGGTGTCAGATTTTGCATTTTGGGGTCAATTTTTTGGGTTTTGGGTCAAATTTCAGGGGCTTTGGTAAAAATGAGGAAGTTTGTTAAATTTTGAGGGTTGTGGTTCAAATTTTGGGGTTTTTTGGTTCAGATTTTGGGTTAGGTTTGGATTTTTTTTTCAACAGGGTGAGTTTTGGGTCAAATTTTGTGGGTTTTGGGTCAATTTTTTTGAGTTTTGGATCAAATTTTAGGGGGTTTGTTTAAAATGAAGGAGATTGGGTCGAGTTTTGGGGGTTTTTTGGTCAAATTTTGGTTGTTAGGTTAAATTTTGGGGATTTTAATCAAATCAGGGGTTTCTGGTGAAATGTTTGGTTTTTTTGATTCAATTTTCTGTGTTTTGGGTCAAATTTTCGGGGTTTTGATTAAATTGTTTTATTTTTCTGGGTTGGGTTGGGGTCAGTTTTGGGGTTTTGGTTAAGTGGAGTTTTAAGGTCAAATTTTGATTTTTGGGGGGTCAAATTTTGCCTTTTTTGGCTCAAATTTCAAATTTTTCTCCTTTTAACCCCCCCTTAGCTCCCTCCCCCCCAAATTTAGGGCGAGGAATATTTGTGGGTTTTTAGGGGGAAAATTGGGGGTTTTGGGGGAAAAATCAGGATTTAGTGAGGAATTTTTGGGGTTTTGGGGAGGAATTTGAGATTTTTTTGAATTTTGGGGGCGTTTTAGGGGAATATTTGGGGTTTTTAGGGAGAAAATTTGAATTTTGGGGAGAAATTTGGGGGGAAATTTGAGGTTTTAAGAGGGTTTTGGGGAGGTTTCAGGGGCATATTTATGATTTTTCTGAGGAAAACTTGAGGTTTTAGGGGATTATTTGTGGGTTTTAGAGAGGAAATTTGGGATTTTAGGGAGGTTTCAGGGAAATATTTCGGATTTGTGGGGGAAATTTGGGGTTTTTAGGGGAATATTTGGGGGTTTTGAGGAGAAAAATAAGGATTTAGTGAGGGAACTCTGGGTTTTAGGGGGAAAAATTGGGATTTAAGGAGGGAATTTGGGGTTGTGGGGGGAAATCGGGGGATTTTGGGGGAAAGTTGGGATTTTTGGGGAGGGAATTTGGGGCTTGAGGGGGAAATTTGACGTTTTGCAGTGAAAATTTGGGATTTTAAAGAAAAATTTGGGGGTTTCAGAGGAGTATTTTGGAATTTGGAGGGAATTTGAGAGAATTTTGGGAGAATAAATGAATTTTTGCTGATTTTTTTCCAATATTTAAACTTATTTTAAAATCAATTTTAAAGGATTTAAGAAAATAAAGTGGATTTAGAATAAAAGATTTTTTTGACATTTCTTACAGAATTTTTTCTCAATTTTTTCAAATTTTATAATGATTTTTAATGATATTTTTTGGAATTTTTAATCACCTCTTGAGAATTTCCAGAGGCTTTAAGAAATCTGCAACTCTCCAAAATTTGGAAATATTTCACAAAAATTCTGGGATAAAATTCAGTTGAAAAAAAAATCTGAATTTTAACGCCAAACATCACAATTTAAGCCAAATTCCCTCATTTTTTTTCCAATTCCCGCCGGGATTTTTTTCCTCCCCACCTAGAATTTTATCAATTTTGTTAAATTTTGTCTTTTTCCCCCTTTTTTAGGCACGGTTGGGGCCCGGATCCTGCTGCTGCCCCTGGTGCTGCGGGGCCAGCGCGAGGCCGCCCGGCTCTCCCGGCACCTCCCCGAGCTCCAGCGCCTCTCCCAGCGCGTGGCCGAGGCCCGCCGGGGCTCCGACCCCAACCAGGGTGGGCGTGGCCGCCGAATTTGGGGGGTGGGGGCGGAGCCCGGGGGGTGGGAGGCGAAATTTGGGTGAAAAAAGGTGAAAATAGTGAGTGGAAACGTAAAAAAGTTGGGTTGAAATGCCTTAAAGTAAGGCAAAGTGGGCGTGGTTTAAGGATTTATGGGCGTGGCTTTAGAGTTGTGGGCGTGGCCTAAAAACGGAGGCACGTGGGGCAAAATTTGGGTGGAAAAAAAGGTAAAAAATGGGGTTAAAAGGCCTAAAAATTAGGTCTTGTGGGTGTGGCTTAAGGTTTGTGGGTGTGGCTTAATATTTGTGGGCGTGGCTTCAGGTTTGTGGGCGTGGTCACACAATTTGGGAAGTTTGGGGCAGAGCCTGGGGGGTGGGAGGTGAAATTTGCGTGAAAAAAACGTTTAAAAATGGGAAATAGTGAGTGGAAACGTAAAAAAGTTGGGTTGAAATGCCTTAAAGTAAGGCAAAGTGGGCGTGGTTTAAGGATTTATGGGCGTGGCTTTAGAGTTGTGGGCGTGGCCTAAAAACGGAGGCACGTGGGGCAAAATTTGGGTGGAAAAAAAGGTAAAAAATGGGGTTAAAAGGCCTAAAAATTAGGTCTTGTGGGTGTGGCTTAAGGTTTGTGGGTGTGGCTTAATATTTGTGGGCGTGGCTTCATTAAAGTAGAACAAAGTGGGCGTGGTTTAAGGGTTGTGGGCGTGGCTTCTTAGAATGTGGGCGTGGCTTCAACAATTAAGGGGTAGGAGGTAGAATTTGGGTGAAAAATGGATCAAAAATGTCTAAAAATGGCAATAAAGGGGCGTGGCTTAGTGGTCGTGGGCGTGGCTTAAGCAGCCTTGCATCCCATATATGGGCATAGAGTGGGTGTGGTTTATTCTTAAAGGGGCCTCACTCATTTATATTAGTGTTGGTTCATTGGGTTTTTTCCCCTTTCCCCTGCAATTTTTGTGGGCGTGGCTTGGCTAAGGTGGGCGTGGCTTAGCTGAGGTGGGCGTGGTCTAATTTTGAGTGGGATGGGCAAAAATTATGCACATTCTAAATGAAAGATTTCCTTAAATGGGCGTAACCATATTTTGAGTTGTAAGCATCTAAATATGGTAAAGTGGGTGTGGCCTCACACACCCCATGTGTTGCAGGCATTACTTTCCATATATGGGCATCAAGTGGGTGTGGCTTCTTCTTAAAGGGGCCTCACCCCATTTTAATTTTTGCCTTGTTTTTATTTTATTTTGGGGGGGGTTGTGGGTGTGGCTTGCCTGAAGTGGGCGTGGCCTTTCTGATGTGGGCGTGGCCTAAATTTGAGTATGAGGAGCTGAAAATTTGGGGAAAAAATCGAAAATTTGGAAATTCTAAAGGAAAAAAGGCCTGATTGGACATGACCAAATTTGGTCCAAAAGGGGCGTGGCTTCACTTGCCCCACTCTGTGCCTCTTGTATTGGGCATCAAGTAGGCGTGGCTTATTCTTAAAGGGGCCTCACCCCATTATAATTTTTGCCATTTTTTGATTTATTTCGGGTGTGGCTCATCTGAGGTGGGTGTGGCCTAAATTGAAGTGGGTGGGGCCAAAATTTGGGATAAAAATAGGAAAATTTGGGGATTTCAGAAGCAAAATATCCTAAAATAGGCAACATTCAAATTTGGCCAGAAAGGGGCGTGGCCTCACCTATTGCAGCCATTGCTTATTCAAAGCAAAATATCCTAAAATAGGCAACAAATTTGGCCAGAAAGGGGTGTGGTCTCACCTATTGCAGCCATTGCTTATTCCGTATATGGGCATAAAGTGGGCGTGGTTTATTCTTAAAGGGGCCTCACTTAATTGTAATTTTTGCCGTTTTTTGGGTTTTTTTCCAATTTTTTCGGGATTTTTTTGGTGTGGCTCATCTGAGGTGGGTGTGGCTGGTTGGCCACACCCTTCCAGACTGACCACGCCCCTTTTTAATCCCTCAGTGGCCGTGGCTTACTCAGAACTGGTCTCGTATCAACGACGTCACAACGTCAATCCGCTCCGGGGCTTCCTGGTGCCCCTCGTGCAGGTTTGGAAACCCCAAAAATTTGGGAATTTACCCCAAAAAATTTGGGAATAAATTCTGGATAAACTTTGGGGGGCAATGGGAAAATTTGGGGGGAATCAGGCGGAAAATTTGGTTTAAAAATTGAAATTTTGACAACAGGATCCCAAAAAATTCCCAAAATTTATTTGTTTATTTTTGTATTTTAATTTTGATTTTTGTTTTTTATGTGCAAGGGAAAAAATGTTTTAAAAACCTAGAAAAATTGTTATAAAATTGTTTAAAAATCAGAAAAAAATTAAAAATTTCCATTAAAATTTTTTTTAAAAATCTGAGGAAAATTCCCAAAAAATTAAAAAAAAAATCTGTAAAAAATCCAAATTTTCCTGAGATTTTTCTGGATTTTTTTCTTGATGTTTTTAATAAATTTTAGGTAATTTGAGGCTTAAAATATACAAAAAAATTCTCAGGAAATTAAAATAAAATTCTTGAAGAATAATTTTTAAAATCCTAAAAATTTCTGAAAAAAATTAAAAAAAAAATTACTAAAATATTCAGTAATTTTTAATCATTTGAAGATTCCTAAAATCTAAAAAAGCTCTCAAAAATATATAAAAAATTTTGAAAAAAATCTTTAAAAACGCAGAAAAAATCCCAAAAATTTTGGAAAAAAAATCCCAAAAATTTTGGAAAAAATTCTGTAAAAATTCTCAAAAATTCCCTTAAAAATTCCCAAAATTTTGGTGAAATATTTCCAAATTTTGGAGAGTTGCAGATTTCTTAAAACCTCTGAAAATTCTCAAGAAATGCTTAAAAAAATACAAAAAATGTCACTAAAAATCATTAAAAAAATTGAAAAAAATTATGAAAAATTGATTAAAAAATGTCAAAAAAAATCTTTTATTTTAGGTTCATTTTATATTTTTAAATCCCTTATAAATGATTAAAAAAACTTTAAATTTTGCAAAAAAATAGCAAAAAATTGACGAAAAATCAGAAAAAATTCATAAAAAATCTGAAAAAAATCCGAAAATTTCTGGATTTTTTTTGTTGTTTTTTAATTTATTTTTCATAGGATGTACACTTTAAAATACAAAAAAAAATTCCAAAAAAATTGTTTAAAAATTCAGAAAAATCCCAAAAATTTGGGGGAAAAAATCCCAAAAAAAATTTGAAAAAAAATCATTAAAAATTCAGAAAAATCCCAAAAATTTGTGAGAAAAAATCCCCAAAAAATTAAAAAAAAAAATCATTAAAAATTCAGAAAAATTCCAAATATTTTGGAAAAAAATAATCCCCAAAAAATTAAAAAAAAAAATCATTAAAAATTCAGAAAAATCCCAAATATTTGGGAAAAAATCCCCAAAAAATTGAAGAAAAATCTGAACACATTCTTTAAAAAATAATTTTAAATTTTCATATATTTCCTGATATATCCCATAATTTTCAGTTTTAAAATTACTTTAAAAATCAAAAAAAATTAATAAAATACCCCAAAAAATCAGAAAAAAATGCTGTGAAGAGTCCTAAATAAAATTTTCATATATTTCCTGATTTATCCCATAATTTTCAGCTTTAAAAACCAAAAAAAATTTAATAAAATACCCCAAAAAATCAGAAAAAAATGCTGTAAAAAATTCTAAATATTTTTAAAAAGTCTTTTTTGTTTTTCATCTATTTTAGGGTTTTGAACCCATTAAAAACTCTCAAAAAGTTCTTTAAAATTGGGAAAAATTCACAAAAAAATCACCAAAAAATGAGGAAAAAAATTTAAAAAGTGAGGAAAAAATCAGAAAAAAAAATTCCATTAAAAATCCCAAATAATCCAAAACAAATTTTTTTATTTTAGATTAATTTTATATTTTTAAATCGATTTTAAATAGTTAAAATATGATTAAAAATTGAGGGAAAAAATTGACGAAAAATCAGAAAAAATTCATTAAAAATCCAAAAAAAATCATATATAAATTCTGTAAAAAATCCCAATTAATTCCTAATTAGCATATTAATTATGGCATTGTTAATTACTAATTTTGGGGGTCCCAGACCCCCCTTTTTGTGTCGTTTTTCTTCGCCCTGCAGGGGATGGCGGCGGCGCCGGTGCCGGGGCTGCTGCAGGGGGGGCTGGGCTGGTTCCCAAATTTGGCCGCCCCCGACCCCTTCTACGTCCTGCCCGTGCTGGTCACAGCCTCCACCTGGCTCGTGCTCGAGGTTTGGGGACAAAAATCCCGATTTTGGGCAAAAAAAACGGGATTTGGGGAAAAAAAAATGAAGGTTTTAGGTGAAAAAATGGAGTTTTTACGTTGAAAAATGGGGGTTTTAGAGGGAAAAAATTGAATTTTTGGGGTGAAATGTGGGATTTTTAGAGGAAAAATGGGGTTTTGGAGGGAAATGAAATTTGGGGTAAAAAATGGGGATTTTGGGCAAAAAAAATTGGGGGTTTTAAGTGAAGAAATGAAGTTTATAGGTGAAAAAATGAAGATTTTATGGCGAAAAATATGAATTTTAGGGGAAAGAATAGTGATTTTTAGAGAGAATATGAAAATTTTTTTAAGGTAAATAAATTTTGGGGTAAAAAAGGGGATTTTGGGAAAATATGGGGGTTTTGGGTGAAAGAACAAGGATTTTAGAGGGAAAAATAAGGATTTTAGGGCAGAAAATCTGATTTTTAGTGTGAAAAATTGAATTTTGAGAGGAAAAATGGGGATTTTAGGGGAAGTAAAATTTGGGGTAGAAAATGGGGATTTTGGGCAAAAAAATTTGGGGATTTTAGCGTGAAGAAATGGAGATTTTAGGGCAAAAAATGTGAATTTTAGGTGAAAAAAAATCTGATTTTTGGAGTGATAAATGAGGAGTTAAAAATGGGGATTTTGGGTGAAAAAATTGGGATTTTTGGTGAAAAATGGAGATTTTGGGGAAAAAAATGGGAAATTTGGGGTAAAAAAAATGGGAATTTTGGAGGGAAAAACTTAAATTTTGGACGAAAATTTTTGGCAAAAATGGGAATTTTGGGGGGAAGATTTTGGGAGAAAAAAACGGGAATTTTTGAGGAAAAAAAGGAGGATTTTGGAAAAAAGAATACGAATTTTAGAGGAAAAAAATTGAAATTTTGGGGGAAAAATGGCAAATTTCGGATTGAAAAATTGGGGGGAAAAACTGGGAATTTTGGGGGGAAAATTTGAATTTTTGAGGTTAAAAATTGTAAATTTTGGGCAAAAATTGCAGATTTTTGGGCATTTAAAAGGAGTTTATATGAATAAGGGGAGGGGCATTTATATGCAAATGAGGGGCGTGGCTAATTTGAATTTTTCTCCACTCAGCTCGGGGCGGAGACGGGCGTGTCGGCGCCGGGGGCGGGGCCTGTCCGTCAAATCCTGAGGCTCCTCCCCCTTTTCTTCCTGCCTTTCATCGTGCACTTCCCCACGGTGAGTAGGGGCGGGGCTTAAAAGGGGGCGTGGTCAGGTAAAAGGGGCGGGGCCAGTTTTTAAAGGGAAATTTTCAATTTTAATTTTTGTAATTTTTCCCAAATTTTCCTGATTTTTTCTCAAAATTTGCAATTTTTTTGGAAAAAATATGGAAATTAAAAAAAAAGGAATTGGGAATTTTTGTAAAAATCCCAAAATTTCTAAAAAAATTTGGGAATATTTTTTGAAAATTAAGGGATTTTTCACTAAAAATTTGAAATTTTTTTTGCCTAAAAAAAAGGGAATTTGAAGAAGAATTGGGAACTTTCCCAAAATAAAATTTGGAATTTTTTTTGAAAGAATCTAGGAATTTGAAAAAATGAACATTTATCCAAAACTTGGAAATTTCTCAAAAAGTTTTGGATTGTTTTCTCAAAATTTGGGAATTGTCCTGAAAAAGGCTGGAATCTTTTTGTAAAAATTAGGAAATCTGAAAAAAAAAATTGAGCAATTTTACCAAAAATCCACAAAATTATAAAAAAATTTGGGATTGTTATCTGGAAGTTTGGGAATTTCCCAAAAAAGTTTGGAATTTTCTTGAAAAACAATCTGGAACTTAAAAAAATTTGGGAATTTTATTGAAAATCTAGAAATACTTCAACAAAATTTGGAATTTTCTTGGGAAAAAACAAGGAAATTTCAAAAACAATTTGGGAGATTTTACCAAAAATTTGTGGATTTTTTAAAAAAATTCTGAATTTTTTACCAAAATTTGAGAATTTTATGGGAAAAAAATCAGATTTTCTTTTTTTTAACTGGGAATTTTACTCAAAATTTGGAAATTATTTTGCAGGATTTTGTAATTTTTCCAAAAATCCAGAAAAATTTGGAAATTTCTAAAAAAAAATCAGAAAGTTTTGTTAAAAAATTGGAATTTTTTCCCTTTTTTTGCCACTTCCGGGTTCTTATTGTGGCCCCGCCCCCTTTGGCATGTACTTTCCTCTGATTGGTCGCTTTTTCCAGGCGGTCTTCACCTATTGGCTGACGTCCAACAGCTTCAGCCTATTGCAGACCGGGCTGCTGCGAGTCCCCGCCCTCCGCTCCAAATTGGGTGTGGCCCCGCCCCCTGCCCCGCCCCAGGCCACGCCCACCGGCCACGCCCCCCAGAGCAAAGGGGGGATCCTGACGCAGCTGAAGAAAGGTGAAAAATGGGGAAAAAATGGGAATTTTTGGGGAATTTTGGGGAATTTTTTAGAGTTTGGGAATTTTAGGAATTTTTGGGGAAAAATTTGAGGGGATTTTGAGGAATTTTGTTAAATTTTGGGGCATTTTTGGGCTAATATCTGGGATTTTTGGGGGTAATTTTGGGCAAATATTTTGGATTTTCGGCGATTTTTTGGGGTAATTTGGGAAAATTTGGGGAATTTTTAGAGGATTTGTAAATTTTGGTGGAATTTTGCAGAATTTTAGGGATTTTTGGGGATTTTTTGGGGGAGATTTTGTAGATTTTTTTTTTTTGGTTTTTGGGAAATTTATTTTAATTTTTTTGGGGTAATTTTGTAAAATTTGAGGGGATTTTGGGAAAGTTTGCGGATGTTTTGGTGGAAATTTTGTGGATTTTTTTATTTTTAGGGATTTTTTTGGGAATTTCTTTAGATTTTTGGGGAATTTTTGGAAAATTTGGGTGGAATTTACGTGAATTTTGGAATTTGGGGAAGTTTTGTGGTTTTTGGGAGGAATTTGGGGGAATTTTTTTTGGGAATTATTTGGGAGAGTTTTATTAAATTTGAGGGGATTTTGGGGACTTGGGAAATTCTGGAATTTTGGGGTGAGTTTGGGTGAAAATTCTGGGATTTTGGGGGGAAAATTCTGGGGTTTTTGGGAAATTTTGGGAATTTTGATGGGATTTCGGGGGAAATTCTACATTTTGGGGGATTTAGAGAAAATTCTGGAATTTTGGGGAGAAATTGCGGAATTTTGAGAAGGAATTGGGAAAGAATTTTGGGATTTTGGGAGAAAAATCCTGGAATGTTGGGGGATTTGGGGGAAATTTTGGAATTTTGGGGAAAATTCTGTAATTTTGGGGATAAATTGTGGAATTTTGGGAAGGAATTGGGGGGAAAATTCTGGGATTTTGGGAAGG